ATTTGCACAAGGAAGCTGAAAGAAGCAGAACAAAATGTGAAAGGAGCAGTAAAAGGTTGTAAACACATCTAAATATTTGAAGGATGTAAAATGAGCTCCTTTCATTTTCTATGAGGGAAAAAATGGCAGAAAAGTCTAAATATTTCAAAAAGCTAAAGTTGCACCAAATCAAAAGTCATAGCAGGATTGTCCTGAAAGAGCTGAACGTTTTCATATATGATTTGTTGATAAAGCACAAAAAAATGTGGATTGAGAAAGATGCAGAAAAACATACAGAAAACCATGGATCACAATAGTGAGAATGTTTCATAAACATTCACACAATTAGCTAGTTATAAATCCTAAAATTACAACCTAAATGTTTAATACAAGTTCAGTAGGTGAAGAGAGATTTTGCTAAGACTTTTGCATACACAGACACAACCAAAATCATCACCTCTCACCTTCAGTCGGTGGTTGGTTATAGAAACTCAATATTTTGCCCAACAGTTCATTCATTTATTTTTTGTGTTTGTGCTTTTGAAGTATAGCTCCAACTGATAATAACCTCCAAAAACAATCAGCATGAAGCCAGCAGTGGTGACAGAAAGCAGTTTTTGAAGTAGCTCATTAATCTCTGTGCTTTCTCAGTTTATCCAGCCCATCATGAATCATCCCTTTAAGTAATCCACTTTGAGCTTTAATCCCCGGCTGTCCTCGCCTCACCTTTGAGTATTGAATTAGAGGAGAGTCAAACTCGTCCTCTTGGATTACGTGTCCAACGATGAATAAATAAGTTTGTCAAAGCGCCGAAGAGGTGATCCGAGTGAAATTATTCAGGAGGAATTTCTGATCAGAGCCAGAAGAAACGGATCTGTTCGAGTTTGGAATTAAACATCTGCTAGGAATACCCACGCTTACTGGTTCGTCTCCACACATTCTGATGCTAGAAATGGGGACAACAAGGGGGAGGGAGGTGTCAAAGGAAGTAGGTCAAGATGGAGAAGAAAATGACAGAATGGCAGCGGAGGGGGGAGAACAAGTGAACGAGTCAAACCAGAGTCAAAAAGAATCTGACGATGCATTCTTTGAAAATGTGTTTGCATTAATTATAAACCATAAATTATGAGGGGCAATTCTTGTTTGGTCAATTTGTTGTACATTTAGCTTTAAGATCCCTTGTCAGGTTTTCTAAAGACTATTATGGCAAATCACTGGTCCGTGCTTACGAGTCACTTCAAGGTCGTTTTACGCTGAAGTCCCAAGTCCTTTCAGTTCTCCATGAAATCTCAACTATGGTGTACAGTAGTCCCTCGCTTATCGTGGGGGTAAAGTTCCAGACACCTCCACGATACGTGAAAATCCATGAAGTAGGGACATATTTATTTTAGTACTTGTATACATTTTAAGGCTTTATAAACCATTCCCACACTCCTGCAAAGTTCTTAACAATGTTCTAATCAGAATCAGAATAAGCTTTATGATTATACAGAGATATGAGAATACGTTTGTACAGTCGTCTGAAAGATGGGCGGAGTGCACGTAGCTGCTGCTGTGATAGCGCGGCCTTCTTATTAGGGGTTGAACAACTACAGAATTTTTAAATTCGACATTAACATAATAAAACTTGAGTAGAACTCGAGTCCTTGATGACGTCATAGGAGCTCAAGATGCAAAAATAAATAAATAAATAAAACCGCAAAAAAAGGTAATTATTTACAAAAAAACGACTAACATAACATTGGGAGCGTATATTATGCTCCTACCATTTATCATACTGCAAATAAGTCACAGGAAAAAATTGCAATAGACGAAGCTTTTCCTTAGTTTACACATTTCCCAGGAGAAATTGACAAGTCGTCCTGTTTTGAGACCAACCAGGGAGTCGGATTCAGATAATCCACAATTGTTAATTTATTCAGGCAGACTATTTTTCTTGTCAGCCTCGAGTCTTACTGGTACTTCCAAGATTCGAAATGGCCAGATTAGGGTGCATTCTACTGGTCCGTGCTTACGAGTCTCTTCAAGGTCGTTTCACGCTAACAAGTCCCAAAGCCGCAGGTGGCCTGCGATACTTCCATCTTATGGTTTAGCTCGTAAATCAGCTGATTTTGAGTCCTCAGAGCACGAACCAAATCTTCACATACGCAGCAGCCTGACGTCGTCTTGTTTGATAAACCAGGAACCAGACAATTCCAAAAACAGGAAACCTGTTCTTTTTAATCCTACGTAATTTTAACAACATGCGTACATGTACTGTACAGTACTGCTAAATTTTACATGGGTACTGACCAGTGAAGATAATACAACTTGAAGGATGAGTTCAGATTATTTGCAACTTTCCTGCCAGATCTGTGAGCTTAACAGATCGTTACTTCTGACTTTGCGTTGCAAAACAATTTTTACCACATCGGTTTCTCCTTTAGTGTTTTCTCCCTCCATTGCTGTTCTTTGAATTATGGCAGAAGGCAGCAACTGGAGGTACTATTGGATTCTGGGCTGTGTAGTTCTTTTGACTTGCGTTACAGTGTAGGCTTATTGAAAGCAAACCACAAAATGGTGGCGCCTGTCCGAAGTATTTTTATTTTTTTTGTCCTATTGGTTGGTTCCCGCTCCCGTCCGCTCCTTTTATCCCGTACCATCCCAATCACAGAGTAATCAAGTGATATTAAAGTGACAATCGTGTGTGGTGTACAATCTTGCGTTGAAAACCCGCAAAAATAGTGAATCGGCAAAGTCGAGCCGCGAAGTATCGAGGGACTACTGTACTCTGTTTTTTAAAAAAAGTTGCACCTCTATGTAAACCCACCAAGCCTTTCTTGAACTGTATCACATCCAAAATGTGTGCAGAGATCATGGAGAAAGAACATTAGAATTTAATTAATTTTACAAAACATTTACTTTCACATTTTTATGCAATGTCTCTGTTTGTGGCATAAACCAGAATCTGAATGCTCTGAATTCAGTTTCAGAAGGAATAAGTTTTAATTCTAAACAGTGTACAGCAGAGACCAGATAGTGGACTTGATAATCCCCACATGAACAACCACTGGATCAACTTGTTCCGTGTTGGAACAGGAATCAGTTTGAAGCTGAATTAATATCTGATGAATGAAAAAAATCAGCCTCCATCTGCTAGTGTTGCCATATTAACCCTGTAACATCCCCAATTAGTTCATGCTCAGAACATTTAATGCATCTCAAGTCAATTAGCATTCATTTTATTTGCAAGCTACTTCGTTTCTAAGCAGCCCAAAAGCTCGCTCTACGATCAGAAAAACTTTGCTTTTACATGAAACGTTGAATTGTTTTTATAAACCAATATTTTATTATTTATGGAACATAGTAAACATATCAAATGTTGGAATTAGTAATTTGTGCTTTTTCAAAAATTTTAATAGCCGATGAACTGTTTACAATGATTTGTGTTCCAGAGCCCATGAAATGTTCAGAACCAAACCAAGCCTGTTTTTATTGCAGTGGCCCAAAAATCAACATCCATGACTGAATTTCAGCCTCGACCTTTTAGCCATAAGCTTTTGAAATCTTTTGATGATATTATGAACTATAGAAGATATTCGTAGTTGTAATCCTTGGTTGAGGAACATTATTCTGAAACTGAAACTCATGATGGAAAGAACGAGATCCAGGATAGAAATGGCTGAAATTATTTTCCTTCACAGGCTGGCTCAGCCCTAGAGATGGGAAGAGGAGGTCTATTATCCAGGGGTAGCTCAGAGTGGAGTCGCTGCTCCTCCCCATAGAAATAAGTCAGTTGAGGAGGTTCTTCTGATTTGGATGCCTGCTGGTTGCCTCCCTTTGGAGAATTTCTGGCCATGTCCCATTAGAAACTGAGAATACCTTGGGGTCCCAAGGAGGAACTGGAGAGAGGGTGGTTTTTTTTCCTGGACCTGTTGCCTCCACAGCCCAACCACAGATAAGCAATAGGAGATGCAGATGTTCCACTTCAGTTTTTTTTTACAAACTGGTGAACATCTGGTCACCTTTACATCCTTGGGATCCAGCCTTTTTAAAATGCTTTTTAAATATCCAGTCCTAAGTGACTGTTTGGGGAACATACATCTTAAAATGTTTTCATCTTAACCACAGATTCTCAGGTGTGATCACTTAAAAGAAAATCATCAATCAACTTCCCTAAAGATTGATGATGTACAACTGCCAAGTCTGAGTATCCTTAAAAAAAAGAAGCTCTAATAAGGTCACAATAAGATTTCCAATAAAATGGAATATTCAAAGTTTGTGTTTTGTTTGCTTCTGTCTTTGTATTTTTATCATTTGTGGCTTTTTAATTGTTTTATTTTTCTCTAAATTGTCTCACATGTGGCAGCCTGAAGATGTTTTCTATGTCATTTATTGAAGAAAGGTTGCTCCACTTAATGTTTAACAGTTTTTTTCACTGTTCTCAAAATTACTTTACCATATTTTAATTGGTTTCTTCATCAATAAAACCATTTAGAGATGACTCCTGTTGTCTTTGAATCTACATCTAGTGCCACACTCGGATCAAAACCTCCAAATCCAAATCTGTCCCCAAAGCTCAGAATGAATATATGTATATATTTATTTCCAAATAATTGTTTGAAATTTGGCATCAGATGATTGAATAAAACTGTTTGCAGCATTTCAGTTACTAAAACCCCCAGCATGGACCCTTTAATTCAACATGTGGTCTAATGGTAACAATAAATTCAGTTCAGTCTCTTTTCTGTTTATTTCATGTGTCTTTATGATCGAACAGCTGTGGCAAGTGAATTAATGTGTTCACCAGAGGAAGATCGAAAGAAAACTTCAAGAAATGTTGAAGTAGATGCTGGTTTTGTACCTTAAACTCCTCATTGTAAAATCTTTCTGGATTGTGACACATGCAAATGAGTGTGCCAACTGCCACCCATTTGTATGGACAAAAACAATTTAAATTAGTTGCATGACAGTCAACATGCAAGTAACACGTGTGTTTCTAATGCTGCTTTGTTTGCTTGTTTCCTCTCTTTTCACTGCAGAAGTCGGCAAGAAAATGCCAGGTGAGTTTAAATGAGACCTTTAAAACGGTGATTATTGTGCAGTGGCAGATTTTCAGACAGTTAAAACTCTGTGAGGATATTAGACTGCTTGTGTTTAAAGATTCATGCACAGTCTACATTGATTTAATCAGAAATGTCCTCCAAGATTAAAAAATAAATAAATATTGGTATTAGAATAATTTACTCGCACGTTTTTAGACAAAACCACAGGATCTTCCAAAGTCTTGAGGCTTTTTTTTTTTTTTAACATTTGTCCTTAAACATTTTCAACAGTTCTACAAAAGTGCAAAATCAAACAGTCCTTTGAAGTTACTTTATTTTGAGATATTTCCTTCGACATTCAGTTGCATTTTTCTGTTATTCTGAATAAATCCCTAAAGTCAGACGCTAAATATCTTTATTTTCTTATCAAACCAAAAATCTACTGTGCAGAGTTAATTTCAAATCAACCATCCGCTTCTTAAAATAGTCAGGCAAAAGTTATTTTTTGTTGACATTTTGATTAAATTTTATTAACCCAAAACTTGAAAAAATGCATTAAAGATTCTGTAACTCGGTCACCATTTGAATCCAAAGAATCGACCTGCGCTTCTGTCATCTTGAAGCCTATAAAATCTTAATTCTCTATTTTCTAGATCACATTTAAAATCAAAATAAAACCGATTTTTTTCCAAATGGCACATATTCATCTGCAAACCGAGTAGTTGTATAAAGCAGTGGTTCCCAACCATGGTCCTTGAGGAACACCATCCTGCACGTTTTATTTGTTTCCCTGCTCCAACACACCTGATTAAGTGATTTTGTTAAAGTTCTGCCATCACCTGCTAAGCACCCATTTGTTCAAATCAGGTGTGTCAAAGCAGGGAAACAAGTAAAACATGCAGGATGGTGTTCCTCAGGGACCACGGTTGGGAACCACTGGTATAAAGTAAACATATTTGGTGCATTTAGAAGTAGACCATAGTATACTGGACACATGATTTCTGTAAAAGCCTTAGATTGATGTGTTTTTAAGCAGTTTTCTGACCGTTAAGTAATTTCCAGAGCAAAGTTGATGACTGTTGTTCAAAACTTGCTTTTGCTCCCAAAGAACCTAAAACCTGCATCTGTGGCAAGTAAAAGCTGCAGGTCAGTGAGAGTCCTGCTTTGAAATTCTCCGGTGAAACGTGTGGATTTGATTTAGAAAGCCTCCTGCTCGAACACGGGAAGCTTTGCGAATGTTTGTGTTCAGATGTCATGCTTTCCCTCTCGAGAAAAGCATGTTTCATCACAATACTGCAGAGTATTGAAACTAAGTGTTCCCTTTCCCATCTTTCCCTTCTCTTTCCTTCTCAAGGTTTTGCACATATGATGGCAGAACAAGGTACGCCCCTTTTTTACCTTTTCTCTTCTGCTCTGGGTGTGACTCCAGTGTGAAGATGCATGTTCTGGTGTGAATTTTCTGGTCAAACAATGTGATGCTTTTCGGTTCTCCATGAAGAACACGCAACCACAAGAATGGATTTATTCTGTGTCCATGAGCCCACTGCTTTTAATCTTCTGCTGGAGAGAGAATGTGTGTGTTGGAGAGGATTATTAGAGTTCATCAGTTACAGAAGCTACTGGAATTTTTCATATTTGGTTCATCGTGACATACAAGCTCTCAGATACAGATTGGGTTTTTATTTATTTGTTTTTGTCAAATATATAGCATCACCACTATGACACGGATACAAAATAGAGCAAAACTTATTAGGTTTTTTTTTCCCTTTATTGATTTTTTATAATATATTGCAAAGAGAAAATTAACCAAATCCAAACCAAATTAAATTTCATGTAATAGAAACTCAGCTCCTTGGTAGAAATTTAAATATAACATTTTACACATACTACTATTTTTATTCATTTTAATCATACCCATTTTTTATGTGACACGTGTTTTATGATCTGTTCATTTGCATCCATTAAATGAGTGGTTCCCAATCATGGTCCTTGAGGAACACCGTCCTGTTGTAGTTGTTTCTCTGCTCCAACACACCTGATTCGGTGATTTAATTACTTCATGTTCTGCAGAAACCTGTTAATGACCTATTCATTTAAATCAGGTGTGTCAAAGCAGGGAAACGACAAAAACATGCAGGATGGTGTTCCTCAAGGAACAGGGTTGGGAACCATTGCATTTAAATGATAAAATTATTAAATTTTTGGACTTTTAACATTGATACAGCAATTATGACTAAAATGTCTAAATATTTTCTCAGTTTTGGTTGCAGTGTATTGATATTAAAAGGAGGAAAGTTAAAAAAATCTGTGGACTGCCGATGTATCTTCTTAATGGTTGTTATAATAAGATGATTTTCTCAAAATGACAAGTCATTCTGAATGAAAATTTCAAATGAAATCAAATAAGTCTTTTAAAAATTACATTTTCTTCAATTAAAAAAGCAAGCTAAACACTAAATGCATTTGTGCAAATACATTTACATTTCAATTTTTTTTATTGCTTGTCTTAAATTGGTTGACATATTGGGAATATCCTCAAAATCTCCTGTCTGACCTTCACTTCTCCATCAAGAGCGGAAACTAACAAATTAAAATTTAGTTAGACATGGAACAACCCATTGTTTAATGATAAAATCGGAATCTTGAAAAATAAGTATTAAGTAAAAGTTTGCAGTAAAAACGAAATGGAACTACAGAAACTGCATTTCCTGCGAAAACGCAGTGTGAATGTTGCCGAAGAAGTTGCTGATAAACAGCCAAAATTAGCTAAAAACCTGTTGAAATGTAGCTGAAATGGAAGAACAAGCCTAAGTTGGAAGAAGAAAGCAGAAAGAAAACATATTTGCTGAATTTGGATTAAATAAGCAGAAGTGAGCACAAAAATTAGTAATTGGCAAAAAAAAAGGCTGAAATTAGCAAGAAATATCTGAAATTTAGCTGAAACGGCAAAAAAAAAAGCTTACATTACCAGAAAAAAGTGGAGAGAGCACAATTGTGCCTAATTAGGCTTAAAGAAGCAAAAATGAACGCAAAAAAGTGGAAGATATCTTAAAAAAGTAGAAATTTGTAAAAAAAAACAAAAAACAAAAACAGTTTAATAGTAGCTAAAACAGCACAAATAAGCTTAAATTATCAGAAGCTAGCAGAGAACAGATTTTAGCTGATTTAAGCTTGAAAAAAGGTTAAATGAGTGCAAAAAATGTGTAATTAGCTGAAAACGTTAAAATTAGCATAAAACAGCTAAATAGTAGCTGAAATAGCTGAAGCTTACAGAAATAGGCTGAATGGAGCAGAACAAGTTGAAATTAGCAAAAAGAAGTTAGAAGAAGCGCACAAATGTTGTAGTTGGCATGAATCTGAAAGGAGCACAAAACAGCTGAAAACACAGCTGAAAGTAGCTGAAAGTAGCTGATTAAAAAAAAAAATGCACAAGGAAGCTGAAAAAAGCTGAACCAGAACAACATGTGAAAGGAGCAGTAGAAGTTTGTAAATGGATCTAAGGATTTGAAGGAGTCCATGAGAAAAAAAAAATAGCAGAAAAGGCTAAATATTTCATGAAGCTAAAGTTGCATCAATACCAAAAATACTTTGATATGAATTGTTGAAATAGCACAAAAATTGTGGAACGAGAAAGATGCCGAAAAACCTACGGAATATACAAAGTCGGAATAATAATAAATATTAACAGGATCACAATTGTGTAAATGCTAAATAAGCGTCAACACTAAAGAAAAACTCAATCACCCTTTAACTGTTGGCCTTCAGGAGATGATCTGAAGTTAAAGATAATTTAAAGAACTCAAAGACAAACACGTTGTTTGATCGAAGACCAGATAAAGTGCACGTGTCGCTCCAGTTTGAAGCAGTTTAACCTCTGAACATCCATTTCTGTAACTGCTGCTCTCCGATTCCTCCACGTCTGCATGCTTTTAGAGGTGCATGAACAGTGCTGCGTTCACTGACTAACCCTGGTGATGTGATGTTTGATGTCTGCTGGATCATGAACTGACTCTTCCTCCTCCTCTTCCTCCCCGTCTGCGCTCTCTCGGCGGTGGACTCCTCTGTGCCGCCTCCTCCTGCTCTTCTAGCTAAAAGCAAAGGTACAGCTTTTTCGAAATCTTTCCTTTTCGGCCTGTATGAAAAGCGACGCTTGCTCTGTGAGTGTTTGAGTGGAACATGTTTGAAGTTTTAATGTGTTTACTCGTCTGTGTTCACCGTCTCCTCTGGAACGCTTTTTCTCTGAGGGTGCTTGTATTAAGCGGGTAATTAAGCCAACAGCACAAAATGAAAGGGGGAGAAAAGAAAGAGTTGCTTTATATGTGTGTGTGTTGTGATTTTGTTAAAAGGCTTGGAGTGTGCACACGAACGTGGCACAGTGGATCAGTTTTCAGAACAACCCTCTCCAGACTCTTTCTGTAAACCAGTCTACTTTAAACTGAGTTCATGGGTTTACTGTATGAGGAACGCTCAGATGTTCTACTTCCCGTTGGTTGAACACAACTTGTGCTCCGCTGGTCACAATTTTCCACTAAACACTTCCAGATCGAACCACAGACACCAGAACGGTAAATTATCAGCACTAAAGAAAATAGTTCCAGGTTTTCTGTTCATCTAACGAGTTTGTTGCCTGACGAGCCAAAAAAACAACAAAAAAACCCCCCAAAAAAACCCAACATCTTCACGTTTGGCGTGAATCTATGAATGACTGCCCTGCAACCCTCCTAAATGTTCTGCTCTCTGCTAAATGTTATGCAGCCTGCTCATTTAACAGTCCAGAGGTCAAAGGTCATCTGTGGGAATGCCGGGCTGTAAGGTGGGACTTTTTTAATTTAAATTTTGCTGTTTTTTTATTGATTTATAATAGTAGTAGTTTTTAAGTCCCTAAGTTATTTTCAACACAAACTGTACTGTTAACAGTTAAAATGATATATTTTTTCCAACAAATCTTTATTTGTATCAAAGTATAACAACACAACTGAACATGGCAATAAACGAAGAATGGCCAGGGGGAGCATAAATTAAGCAAAATAATAAAATGAAAATGACAGTTGTATTATTCTTACAGGAAGAAAACAATTGTACAAAACATGTGCCAAGGAGTCTCGTGTAAAAAAAAATAAAAAATAAAAATAAACTAACACAACAGATCGTCCACGATCCCAAGCTGGGAACAAGTCCATATTGTTGTTTTTGCTTTTTGATTAGTTGATGGTCTAATTGTAATCAAATATTGTTTAAACTCGATCAAAAAACTGGAGAAATCAGGTTTTCTCTTCAAAAATTTTCATTTGTTTGTGAAATTTAGCTTTAATGATTAATAGATTAAGAAAACCTTCCGATTCATTTTGCTACAATGTTTAAACCTAAACGGGACATGTTCCCAGTACAACTGAAAGCTTGCTTGTATTTTACAAAAAATGTCCCCAAAACACTTTAGAATGAGGAAACATCCAGAAGAAATGAGTAACAGGCTCAGGGAGAACATCACAGAAGTTGTAAGGTGGAACTGCTGACCTGTAGTAAAGACACGAGGGATTCTTTTTTATTTTTTTAAAGAGAGACGGGAAGTAATGATGCAACTTTTCAGCTTAATCATTATCAAACCGAACGAGAGAAGCCTTTATTTAAAACGTTTTATTTCTTTATATGTTTATGAGCTGTTTAAAGCCTTGTAATTTTCAGGTTGCCAACTATTTTCATTATTTACATTTTCTTTAGTTAATGTTTTTTTTTGTTCCAGTTTTTGTTCAAGTCTGAAACGAGGGGAAAGCATGCAAGACGGAACTGAAACTATTAAACAACTGTCAAATTAAAAAATATATAATATCGTCAAAAACACAAGATATTTAGAAATGAATGTTGCATCTACAATAACATTAAAAAGTAACATTTGGTTTTTGAAAAAGGTGATTTCAGTAAGGAGCCTGGTTTGACCTCATGCAGTGATGCACATTATCACCTCCATCTCTCTGCACTGTTTTGGGCAGTACTTCCTTTTTATTGGAGCATTTTTCAAAATTGTTTATAACCAAGAAAACAAGAATATTTGAACTTATAGACCTGTCTTGACCCACATGTAATCCACACGTTTTAATATTGTTAGCTTCATCTTTCCCAACTTAATGTCAATCAAATAATAAAAAAACACAAAACCATCTGGATTTTGTCAATGAGCTCAAAGCTCTAAAGATGACTCATTTTTAATATTTAACTTCTACATTTTAAGTAGTTTAGATTTATTACACCAGCTGGAAACTTAAAGCTCATCAACAAACCCTCCAAGTAAAATAAGTGTACAGAAAATAAATCACATATTTTAAGTTTAAAATACACAATGAGCTGTTTGCTGATTGTAATTACTGAAATCTCAACTTTAAACCACATTTTTTAGAAATTTAACTTTTTTTTTTAATTTTTTTTTTTAAGTCTTGTACTTTTTCCAACGTATTATGAAATATCAATATTCTCAGTTAGGTGTTGGCAGATTGAGATCTTCGTTTTTGTTTTGTTTGTTTGTTCCTCCTGTGAAGCTGATTGGCTCCAGCTGAGTGAGCTCACCAGACGAGGGGCGTGAGCTCCTGGTGATTCCCTCCTCCCTCACCACCTGTCCTTTCCCTTGTTGCTGTGTGTAATGGTTAACATTATTTTGCCCTGTTTCTCATCTCTGCATGCTCCTCTCATCTATCTGATATGAAATGCAGCTTGTTGCTCTGATAACTGTCCAAGGTCGAAAGTATCCTTAAAAATAAAACGATGCTTCACTTGGGTTTGTCATCCAAAAAGCCAAATTCAGAATCAGAAACGGATTATTTAAAAACGTCAGATTAGTAAAGTGCTGACTCTGGTGACCATGCTCCTGAGCGGACTGGGACAGGGGGGTGCTTGGACAGTTGGGATTTCTGCGCTTGGCTGAGTACTGGTGAGCGAGCCAGACGCTGGACTCGCCGAGGAGCAGTGCCAGACGGGAGAAGGTGGAGGAGGTCACTGGGAGGAAGAGCAGGTCTGGTTTAAATTAAACTAGAGCTGTTTCTCAGAAAAAGTTGTCTTGGCTTCTGCTGATTGTTTCCCCTGCTAGCTCCAGGGGAAACAATATTAACAGACGAGCAAATTGTCCTCCATCTTTTATGCCAGACATTTAAGCTAAAATCATCTTACGATGAAAAGAAACGGAGTAGTTTGTATCATCCCTTGTAAAAGACTTCATGTGTGATCTCATGCAATATTGTGAGATTTTTTTTAGAGCTCGGTAAGTTTAGAGGATGACACTCGGCTACTTCAACAAATTTTAGCTCAGTTTCTATAAAAGTAGCCGACTACTTATTGTGTTTACTGTGACTACATGGCAGTGGTGGCCATCCTGAATAAGGTTAACGCCATAAGTAGATGTTTTTTCAGTGGTTACGTTCTAAATACAATAGTCCCTCATTTATCGCGGGGGTTACGTTCGCAATAAGTGAAAAACCACAAAGTGGGAAAACTACATTTATTTTAGTATTTATATATATATATATTAAGCATTTATAAAACCCTTCACTCTTGCAATGCTCTTAACTCTTAAACCTATACGTAATTGTAAGTGGCTTTGGTCCGGTTCTGATGGGCAGCAGTGGGATTCTCTGCAGCAGTAGAGCACCAGACGCTTTTAGAGAGAGCTGGACATTTGGATAGTCGGCACAAAACCACACACAGGGTCAGATCGAGACCAAATAACCCAGAGGGATCTGGATGAAAAAAGTCCCAGTGTGGTCCGGAGAAGACGTCGCCCTGCTCGAGAGGCCTCATGGGCTGGCGAGCAGCACTCAGATTGACTGAGGCTGGAAGTAGTCCTGATCCAATTCCCAGTCTGTTCCATATGGCTCTCTGCATCCACTGAGCGCCGAAGTCACTATGAATAAAAACCGAACTTTTGAGGATCGGATCAAAACTTTCCTTCCATTTCAGCAGAAAGCAGTGGCTAGAAGCCCTGTTGGCTTCTGGGTAATCTAGTTTTTTTGACTGGCGATACAGTATATGTAGTAAGCTACAGTATACAGCCACACACCAAAGTGGAAGTCAGTACTTCACTTATTCAAGTTTTCACGTTCACAACACGAACAGATGGACAGAGTATTTACAATTCCTCCATTTGGCTTCACGATCGGGGACAAAAAAAAAAAAAGGAAAAAAATGTAAATGTTCTTTTCGTTACATCCAGATTGTACAAATCCAAAAGGTCATAAAGTTTTTGTCACCTTTTGCTGCTAATGCAGGTTTTAATTCTCTGGAAGTGTTAAGTTTCCACTGATGAACTTTAACCAGGACATGACTTCAGTCTTATATTTGATGCCAAAGTAAATAGCATAAATCGCGTCTTTGATCAAAAGTTTTAAAAGATGCCTTAAAGTGTATGTATGTCAGCGTTTATGCTCTTTTTCCATTCTAAATGGTCCCCATGAGTTTTATGAACACAAAGACACACAGCAACATGCAGGCACAGCACTATATATATATATATATATATATTTATTTAGTTGAGTATAAAATGAAATGTCAACAGTTTGTGCTGCAGCTGATCGATGGCGCGGTCCTTTGGGCGATTGAAAGGTCATGGCCTGACTGAGGCAGGAACTCTGAACCAGCACATGTTCACGAAACAAACAAAAAAAAGATTTGGTTTATTACACTCATTTTAAAAATTACCCAAGAGGACATGGGTCAGTGTGGAAAGGAAAGGTGAAATCTCTACAGACTAGACTTTTTCCACATTGACTCAGAGGCAGAGTAATTGCTGGAATCCAGTTGGTGTTAGATGTCACCATTCTGCTTTAATGTTGTAGAATATATAGTATTTTAACTTAACATGATTGAAAATAATGAAACAAGAAGCACCACAGGTGCCTCAAGTGGAATTGAAGTATCAGGGTGTCTTGTTCACTGGTGATGGTTGGATGGACCTGGAAATGAATCGACAGCCTCATCTTCAGGAATGATGGCATTGCTTTAGTTGGTCGTGGTGTCAAAAGAATTGAGTCAAAGCTCTCAATTCACTTATCTGACTGTTTGTTTGGTGTCGGAGTGTGAATGGTTTGTCTCGTTTGTCTCTATGTGACCCTGAGATGGA